AGCGAATCATCGTAGTCACTGATGCTGCCTATCATCGAGACCTTCGTGGGTTCCAGCAGTGATCAGTTGCTCACTAGTCTGCTCATTCCCTGGGAATTTCACGTTGATAGGGAGAAAATCTGTAAAATGGTGTAAAAATGACTGAAAATGAACGCTTGAAAGACGAATGGCGGTTGCAGTCGGATTCAGGTTATATGATAGTACGAGATCCGCCTTTTCCCGTGCTGATTTTATAGCTCACATAAATTACCTTTCCGGCCGAAAGTGTTTTAACACCTTTTGGTCTTTTGTAGTCTCGCACATTTTCTCTAAATAAGCAGAATGTGTTCGTTCATATCGGATGCCGTTCGTTTCAATGTTTTCGCCTATCAAGTTTCACCCATGTATTCGGGTTATGCTTCTGCGAGAAACTGTGCTTCTTGCAGAATGTCTCTGTGACGACAGCGCACCGTTCTCTAGAACGTTAGAATTTCCAGATGAAATAGATTTAGTAAGGTAATTTCCGCGAATCCATCTATTCGAGGATAACTACTCACAGATCTCTTGTGATTTCCAGTCGAAGGCACCTTTGACTGCGAAAACGGGTTTGAACTTTCTTGCACTTTTCCTTGTATTTTTCACCGCATCCACATTTCTAGTGTCTTAGCCTGTCTACAGTGGAGATGTTTCTATATATGTTGTTAGCTGCTTCACCATATGATAGTTGTGGCGACTCATGTCAACTACTTTGAGTTCCAGTATTATTACTCATAAGTTTCAGTGTTATCATTTAAATAACACCCGTTAATATACACGCTTATCCTATATATTCCATGGTTGAATTCTTGCCAGAACCGTCTCAACGAATGGGAGAGTTCCCAGCACATTTTCCCTTTAGGTATCCGTCACGCTGTCGCCGCTTCCGGTGGTGATTTGCTTCGATTATAGTGCATTCGATTTTCATAGTGATTATAGTGCTTGCCTCGCTATCGATATAAAACCTTATAGATCTAAAAAATGAGATCAATCTTGACCTTGCGAGCACCGGCTAAGTTCTAAACGATATAGTTCTAGCGTTCTGTGAGCGGTGCGGAGAATTCTTGAAGTTGTTGAAGTATCATCTCACGTGTCCGCTGCATAACAGAGGGCTGAGCGGTTCGCGGAGCTTTATGGCCGCAACTTGGTGGGTGTCTTCTGTGAGAGGCCCGAATTTTGCTCGTGGTACTCTCTTTGTTCAATATCGGAAAACCTTTCAGTTCCATTTATTCATTTCTGCCGAATTAAGTTTTCGAGGACCGGGTGTTCATCTCATTCGTGGGAAAATCGCTTCTTTTTCCCGTTTCGCTGATCTCACTGAGAATTCCAACTGCTCCACAGGAGGTTTTTGGTAAAATGAATATGTTATCGTCCAAACAAAAATTTTGTAGGATTTTCCCATTACTGTCTACTCCGTTCGCATTCCAATCAAATGACTTCCTTGTTCACTGCAATGCGGCAATAAGCATCTATGGCAATATGGTATCACTTTCCTAGACTTCTGTTCACTTGAATATGGTAAGAGATCGGTAAAAGACCTGTACTCTCGTGTTGCAGTTCGACACCGGTTTTCTATGTAAGACACGTTCACTCCTTGGTCCACAACCCTTTATAAAATTGCATTCATTTCGATACTGTGGAACCATTTCCGTGCTCGAGGAATGTCATGACTACGAGAACGCAGTATTCCCGAAAGGCTTCTATGACCCTGGACGCGGTCTGGATTTGATTGATGCAGCAGAATCTCTGTTGGTATTCTCATTCCTTAATTGGTTGTGTCTCCTTCCATGTCGTTACTATGCGCGACCTTTAATTATGACGTAAAGGTGTGACAGTTATTTGGAGCTGATTGTGAAATCGTAAAGCCCATTTTCACTACTTGAAGGGAACGAATGCTTCTAATGATGTTCTACAGTGAATGTTGCACGGTCAGTCGGCATGCTTACCTCTTCTCTTCATTTTTTTAGAGTCGAATTTTCACATACTTGTGTTCTGTTTTATGAGGTGGGGTTTCTATTAAATTCTGATTGATTTCCACTTTTTTTATTAGTTCCGTCATTTTGGTGGTCTCTTCGAGCTCGCATTTCCACTTTACCCAGCGAGTTTGGGCTCTACTGGCTGTATAACCATTTCGAGCTCTCTTAAATTAGCATCCAAAAACATAGGGTACAATGTTTTTGTAAAAGTTGTCGTTTACTGACCTGTGTGTAAATTTTTATTCTCCTTCACTTTAACGGCAGATTGGGATTTCTGTGGGGATACAATTTTTTTCCTTAAATAGTATGTTCGACAATCGCTCTTTGTAGTATCGGGTATGCATTTTGCACACAGTGTAAGGAAACGCTCTCTAACTTAACTACAACGAACCCAACTCAAATTTCAGTCGTTCATTGTAATTGTCAACTTTCGTCGTTGTATTATTCTGTGAACAGAAGAAATTATCTCTAGCGCCTGTCTATTTTCAAATCCACTAAACGGATCGTTTAAAATGTGACTCACTGTAAGTGCATTTAGTGCAGTTACCTGTTCCGAGAAAGCCTCGACTTTCTTTTGCAACGTGTCCAGTTTTCACTGAACAACAGCTTTCGTTTACCATGCATTTCGTCCCTTCCAATTTTTTGCTTGCGAGGAATTTTTACGTCAACAACAAATCTGAGTAGATGTCATTACCAGTACAAAGCACTACTGAACCAGTTTGCTGAGTGGCATCTGGCTCTAACTGATTTTCTTCTGTACTTAAACCATTTCACAAAGCAGTGGTGGAGAACGGCAGCAGTAAGACGGCTCTATGGCTTGTAATATGGCTAAAGTAAAAAAAAAACGTTATGGCATTTTTCTAAGCGCTCGACTAGAATATTCTGAAATGCAGTGGAGCACAGCACCGATCTCCCACCCACATGTGATGCAGCGCTATATGACATCTATATAGTACTAAACCGGTATCACTGGGCCTGTTTTCATAGTGCTCTACTAACAATAATTTGCTAGTTGGTATTTTAGACATTATCGAGAATATGGAGGTTCAATTTGAGAAAACCATCTATGTTGTCGATTTCGATGCAGGAAAATCGCAGTGCTCAGTATTCCAGTTTCCTCCGTCATCTAACTTTGGTTCGAAAGTCCTGCCGTAGTCAAGAACCCGGTGATGAGAGTGTCGATTCCGTTGCGCTGTCCAAGTTCAGGAAATCACCACTTGAAGAAATGGAATTCTAAGAACAAGATTTTACGGAGTGATAAATCGTTTTAAAACTTTTTAACGAAGACTACAACGCCAGAATAGGAAAGGCTAGCGACAGCGAATACAGAATCGTAAATTGCCGCCGCTGGACGTGGTGGAGACCAACCACATTCTGACAAACGGAAGATAGTGCATCTTTGGTGCATCATTCGTGGCTCCTTGACACATCGGTATTCGAGTCATTCTGTACTGCTTCCGATCACCTTCTTCATCGCGCGAAAATTTAATTCAGCTGTAAGCTGGAAATGGATTCATGTCATCGACCATGAAGAAAAAGTCCAGCTGTGTATGACGAGAATATTCTGCATGAAATCGTAATTGAACGTAAGTGGCAGATTAAAGAAAACCCGTCCGAAGACTACGAGCTGCTTGTAGAAGGCACTAAAGAGGTGCCGTATTCATCACAGTTCCTCTAGCAAAATGATCGGAACGCATCTCCATCACCACAAAGGAGTTACTGGAGAAGAGAAAGCAACTAAAGCGTTGTCCTATTGCAACACGTTTAACATGGCTATTACTAAATGCCAGTTGCAGAAGAGCCTCGCAAAAAACTCTAAATCGCTACAGGTAGACGAGACTATGGAAGCAGCACAGAAGAAAACCAGCCTCGCACGAGTTTAGTGAATTTTACTTCGAAATCTTCTCTGCCATGTTCCTTTGTTCCATGGGCGCCTAGGAAAGTGTTTGGTTTCAATTTAAAATTGCTGGGTGCCGTTGGTTCAATGGTGGCTCATCCGAAAATGCTCTGCGCTTCAATATCGAGCTGTAGACTCCTATCTTCGGCTTAATCTCAGTAGAATATCTGTGTTCGACAAGACAAACAATGATTACGAGAGGTAGTGGAAAACAGCTCTGTGCGGCGGAATACACCAGAAATGCGCGCTCGCATTAAAATTGATTTGTACGCTTTTTAGAGTGTGCCAACAACGTGCCTATGAAAATGAAAAGATCTGGTGTCGAAAGTATGCTGACATAAAAAGACTGAAAGATGAAAACTCGGCGAAGTGGTTTTCTAGGTATACATAGGGCACAAAGGCAAAGCGGTGATGATTTCGATGTGGTAGCCATGGTCCCTGAGCAGCAACCAAAAACATCGACGAATGGAACTGGTGACGCATTTTAAGTAAATTTGAAGAGCCAGGAAGATCAGGTTCGATGGGAGACAAAGACGCCACGTCGGAAAAAAGAACAACTGTGGACCATCGACAAGGATCGTCGGCTCTGATGAAGAAGAAGACGTCGAAACGCTAGCCGAATAAACATCTCGTATCAACCTCGTATAAGCTCAACAATGTAAACAAATGTTGATCTTTTAGTACCGAGGTTAGACGACAATCGGTTTTAAAATAAATAGAAACGATGGATGGCTCACTATTACACGTGATTTTATTTATTTTACAACTTCTCGACCCATCATCACATCAACTGCAACGATGCCCTTCCTACTTTGCTTCATTCTCCTTGCCTTCATCGTCCACAGTGATCTTCGAATGTTCCCGCGCATTGCTTCGGTTGTTTGTTTAAAATTTCTTCTTCCTCGTGAATGTCGCAGAATACCGATCGAGATGATTCTCCTTACAATATTGGCGATTGCTGGGCAAAGACATTGCCACATGGATTGGAAGAGAGCGTTATCACAAGTAATGTGGTGGCTTATCTTAGATTGATATTCTAATCTGAGCGTAGTTCATTTCTCACATTGTGTGAACCAAATACGGTTGACCTGATTCCCATAAGTAAAACGTTCATGGATTCGCAGCTGTCAAGAGAGGACAACTCGAAAGAGTTGAGAGTTATCCCACCATCTGTGCAGGAAAGGAAGACCGGCTGCAAGGTATGAGATCTTCGGAATCTTCATTTTACAAAAATAATTAGAATAGTATTCGTTTCCAACCTATTATTAAAATGTTATTCCATAATCCGTAAGTATTCGAGCAATAAACAGTTGTTACACTTCCGACAGAACTGAACCACGTCTATGGTGTGTGTCGTCCGCAGAGTATGGTTTCAGTGAGAATTTTTTTCAATTTTACATGGCCAGTCATCCGATCTGTTTGGTGGATCCGAGCACTCCTCACATTCGATTCGTTTTCCTACCACTCATCATCTAAAATAGTCTTCGAACATTTTTCCTGTTATTTTAACTGCTTTGTTTTCTTTATGAAAGTCGTAGAATGGTGATGATGTCAAATCTGTTTGAGTTCTTGGAGACAACCAGGCTGAGACATTCCCTCGTGGATTGTAGGCTTTGGGATGAGGCTCGAACGAGCTCCTTTGCTTCCATATCGACTGTATCACTAATCACTGCACTGTTCCTGCCTCGTTTTCAGCGAGCAGTATTCACTGAGAATACTGTCCACTAAAAACTTTTGGCATCTCAATACCTTCTTGGATTATTAAGCTAAGACGAGTTTCGTAAAGAGATTTATTCGTCTTACGTCTCGAAGTTTTTGTCTTCATCAGAGGCGGTGATGCGAATTGCTGGCTTGCAGTTGTTCGTTTCTCTCGATATGGCTTCTTCGCCGTCGTACGGAAACGTCTTCTGATATGAGCCCTTTGGGATCCTTCGTAATAGGTGATGTCTTCAGAAAGCTCCCTTTCTGTCAGCCTGTTTGGAGAATATGACCACACGTGCGGTAGTTCACACGTAGTGGATCTCCTTCTTTGATGTCTAGAAAGTTGTAGCTAATTTTGTAAAATCTTCATGAATGAAGTGTCATATAAAGTAGAATAAAGAAATAAAAAATTGCCTGCAATGTCGTCATTAATGGCACTTTTCGTGCATTTCAGAGAATGAAAATGTTTTAAGACGACAAAAAGGTAGATTAAGCCGGATCGGATTCCTGCTGTGCTTACTGGTCCCTCGGATTATCGATTTGTTTGAGCAGATGTTAACCAGAACGTTTTGAACCTCAGCAAATGCGTAGACGATGCCAGAGGAGATAAAAGCCATAGTGCTAATTCTCCAAATACCGAACAAGAAAACTCCTATGTTTAACCAGAACGTTTTGAACCTCAGCAAATGCGTAGACGAGGCCAGAGGAGATAAAAGCCATAGTGCTAATTCTCTAAATACCGAACAAGAAAACTCCTATGTTTTCTTGGTTTTCCTAAGAACAATTTGTTTTACGTATTGGCTGCTGTAGAATATCCACCGGCAAGATCGACACAGACCACACAGGTGCCGCGTTTTCTTCTAGGCTTCAATCACATAGTGGACATCTTGATGATAAAGAGAACGCTAATAGGTTTTCGCTTCTTAATAAAAAGCNGATCGTTGCAGTTCGGCTGCAATAAGTCAAAGTCTGCTCATGTGAACGTATTCCTTCTAAAATGAGTTTGTCGTTTTGCTGGTATGTTTGGAGCAATTGGAAGAGTTTTGCTTTGCTTCTGTATAGAACGAATACATGGTTGGATTTTCATTCGGAATGGACAGCTTCAGCTGTACTTCTTGGTGCCTAATTCCTCCCTTGTTTAATTTTTGTCACAGTATAGGATTCGCAGTCGGTGCGACGATAGGCTCACTCTGGTGCGAATAGACAATACACCGCTAAGCAATCGCCGCTTCCTGACATCGCACTACTAAATTGTAGTTATGGTTGATAAAATTTGTCACATTAGTTAAATTCGTTAAATACAATGGAATGCGTAAAGACATGATCTTGCGTGTTTTTAGAACCGCTCGCTCAAAATGAGAAGATGGTTTTCCGACTCGTCTCTGATCAGTTAGTGTTTTTCTCTCTTGAAATGATTTCATAAGCAGATCCTTTATGGAAGTGACAATTTGTTGTGAATAGTTTATGGATAAAAAAGATTTTTCAGACAGTGATAATTTATTTAGAGGAAGCAGGTGGGGCGAAGTACCTCTTCCCAGGCTGCTCAGTCAGACAGGCTGTTTCTGAACCATCGCTGGATAAGAACAGCAAAGAGCAGAGCTCTGAAAATATCGCCGTTGTAGGGTGCCGTGTAGACAACGCTAATTCCAGTCGCGCTGATGAGGTATGCCTCTACAATCTAACGTCTTATTTCTTTGTGCAATTTACAACGACAGTTATACCTTATACCACAGGGATGGCCTGAGGAAGTCACAGCTCAGGAGCCTTCTTTCGCTCCCACGGGCAGTTTCGAAAGTCTCGCTGATTCGGGCTATAGCGAAAGTAGTGGAATCGTGGAGAATTAGGTTGTTCCTAGTTGAACAAAGCAGGAATTCAGTGGTCTTTTTGATAACATTATCACTGTTGGAGGAGTATGTGTAAAAAGCTGAAGCTGATAAAACATTTTAATCTCGCATTTATACAACATCTATGAACTCTCTTAGTAAATGACTATTGATTTGGGTTCTATAATGAGCATTAGTCGATGCGCTCTTTCTTTCACAAGCGATGATCACAATGCAAAGAAATGAACTACGTGATTGGTTTTAATCAAGTTGTTGAGTGTTAATCATGAAATTCAGAGATGCATTCATTAATTTACCAATCCAAAGGTGATATGAGTTCGCATCCGCCACAATGTGCTTATAAAATGATCAGCTTGGTGGTACAAATAATATTAGGTCGGTAGACTTGCGTTTTGGCACCACCACCTGTTCCGGCTATGACTATCGATGAAAGTGAGGAAGGTTGGGAAATGCCAAAATTTTGCACTATTCACTCCTTTTAGCAATGAACGAGGAAGTATTAGTATCTTGCTGCAAAATAGCTCTAGCCAACTGTTAGTACAGTAATGAAGTCGTCATCGAAAATTTCGCTGTTCTGTGCTCAAATTTTTGCGTCGCTTCCATCCTTCGATCAAATTCATTCGCCAAAAAATTACGAAACCGTTTCTTAAGTTATCATGGAATGTATCAAGCTCGCGTCATTATCATTAGTCATACTGTTACTGTCATTCTGTCATACGGTAAACGAACTAAAATGAATGGGTCCCATTGCTGTAACAACCAAAAAAACCCCAGAAACGCCAGCGTTAGGTAAGGCATGTATGAAGAACTAGCTGGAATATCAGGGCCATTCTAGGGTACGAACATCTCGATGCACTAGGATGATGATCTGCACATGCATTGCACGCTCACTCAGATCTGAATCTCTATGTTCGTCAACACGCGTTCGTGTGTGGCCATTGGTTCTTTCGGACACCTTATTACCCGAATCGGGCGTTTACGGTTGAAGATACATGAGTTCAATATGTCAGGGTTCAATATCCTCTTGGTTTGCATCTCTGCAACGAGCCACAACAAAGACGATGTTGAAGGCTTTAATGTGGACTTAGACCAATTCTATACAGAAGGAGATACATTCCTTAGGGTCATCACAGGAGTGTTTAAAGCTAAGACTGCACCGAGAGGAATGTTTGACGAACGTCATACCCACCGATAGGAATAGAGCGACTAGGGTGAGAGGTTGTCTGAGTTTGTTATGATGAGCAAAAACATTCATAGTAGCACGTATTTCCGGGAGTCCCGCTCTCATCGCTGGAAGTGAGTTCTCCCAATCGAGAGTATTATAACAAAACAGAACACGTCATAGTAAATCAAATGTTCTGCTTAACCGGTATCGCTACTGTCTCAAAAATTATACACAGAACAGACCATTGCCTCCTTTTTCGCTTTTTCGCAATGGAGACGAAGCCGCTAAATTCGAAAAATCAAGTCCACAAACCATCGTAGACTGAGACTCATTCAGTCCATTAGTCTCGTGTTGTCAAGATACCGTTCTCGGCAACATCAAGGTGACACATGACGTGCTCATCCAACGTATTGAGGCTAGCGTTATGAAAGCTGATACTTTGAAAGTCACCAAGAGACATCTGTCAACAGAAAGACAGTAGCTGATACGCCAGCGTGGAATCGCACGAGCTGTAGACAATCCCCAACTCAGGTCCGAACTAGCAAAACAATGCCACGCAGGCAACGAAAGAAGATCATAAGTAGAGAAAAGCATCAGTTACTGTCGGAAGTGCAGAAGCTAGCAGAAGTCTTCGAAAACCCCACCGAAACTTTGATAATTGCTAAACAAAGATGAATGCATCCTGATGCTTAGCCGAAAGAGTTACAGAAAGGAAATTGAGAATATATCATTCGCGATTACTACTCGGATTTCCTCAATAGGTACGCCACCCTTCTCTCATACGAAATAAAAAAGGATGTAGTTATCAGTTCATCGGTTCTTCCAAAATCCGAAACGTTAATTCGTCAGTGAAAGATCTAACAACACCAGGTCAGGGCAGGACGAGATCTGAACACGTGAAGAATATTCCATCAGTCTTCATCAACACACAGGATCTGTTGTTTACACGTTGCCTCTTAGAACGAAAATTCGTACACAGGGGAAGACGAGGAAGATCGTGTTATTATTGAAGAACGGTGATCTCCACGGTACCGCCAGTCATCACCCAATCTGCTACTATCTGTCTTCTACAAAATTTTCACTCTAGTGATTCTAAAATGGTTTGCAGTTCAAAACTCTGGACCGCAGGTGTCTGCGGTGGAGAACGAACACGCTATTATCGTTTCCTGGAGTAACGCGTTCACCACCACACCATGCAGGCTCTTCGTTTCGTCTGTCTCTCAGCTTGTTCTATCGATTTCGGCTATCAGCAACCACCCGTTAACGGGATTGATCTGGGTAGCCCAAACTGGCAATGAACCCAGTTAAGCTGAGGCTTTAGTTGTATAATCACAATCTTAACCGTTTCATTTCCTGCCTATTCTTTTTGATGGCAGGGTATATTGCAAAATATAACTTCAATGATACTGGGATATCTGCAAAGCTCGGTTAATAAAACGGTTAAGATTGTGATTATAACAAGCCTCTGAATAATTTGATTATAGCTGAAATATTTGAAAAGTGAATTTCCTACATGGATTTCGTCCTCTTCTCAAGACATGGCGAAAGCGCCTAGGATAATCTCGATCACATGGCCACCCACGTGAACACGGTTAAGAAAGGAACTGTCCACGTTTATGTCACAGAAAGCAGAATGAATATTCTAAACAAACACGAGTTCATGTACGGAATAATTTCAAGCGTTTCTCCTTTAATTCTACAAAAATCCAGTTTGCAAGCTCTTCCTTGCTAACTATTCCTATAACTCTTTTTGTAAGGTATTTCTGAATGAAAATTCTAGTGCTTAAAATTTAAATTAAAATTTAAAATAGCGTTGCGTCGGAGAGAGTAAACTTTTAGGAAGAAAACGAAGAAAGCACACAACGAAAACAAAAAAGCGTTTGACCCACTTCGGAGTGAGCCATTGTGGGAGCCAGACAGCAGTCAGCAGGATTTCACATTGTATACTGTAAAGACATAGTTCCAAATAAAAACTGAACCATAATAGTAAAAAAACTAGTTTTTCAAACCGAATCTGGTCTTCATGCGTCTGGTAGAGGTTCTTAAACATCATGACCATAAATCTGAATAAATTCTTGGCGCACGTGTGGCGCAGAGGTCGGAGGCGCCACTGCGACACACACACACGTGGAATCGATCCCCACACTCATGGCTCACCAAGACATCCCCATCCTTCCGCGGTCGGCAATTTGGTACTAGATTTGTCTGGGGGGAAAACAACACTGTATCGATACATCGGTAGGAGATCACGAGTAAAGGCCAGATATGCATTCAACCACCTTCAAACGATGCCTATTGAAGAATGCACGGCGCATCCCTCAGTGATTGATTGACGCCGAGAGCTTTTATTTTTTTTTAAATTCTTCTCAGCAAATAGCTATAAAGTTGCTTGAATAGTGTTCGTTGATGAGAGATCTATTGTGGCTGGTGAAAAGCTCCGTAAACTAATGTTTTCGGTTTTTGCAGTGTGCTAAATGTTCAACGCGTTATCAGAACCGTTGCTTAAGAGCGTTTGTCTTTTTCGAAGGCGGGCTTAATTTAGATATCCAAGCTTCAGTTGCTGACGCGCTTTCCGATTTCCGACATCGCTTCCTCTTGCAAAAGTCATTTAGTCAGGGTTGACAGAGTAGGAATAAAGTTTTCAATTACATTGTGACTACAAAGGCTGCACGTGATTTCCAGTCCGTCAATACGGCTTCAGATGTTATTTTTTACCTCATCGAGCACAGAGTCTCGTCGACTGTCGTGCACAACTCAATTCCAGTCCGTGTCTGTCGCGACCAAGAACAGTTTCTGTTGTGTATATGAAGTGCACAAAGTTGAAGTTCGGTTTAGGTTTACGAATGAAGACCGTAAAAATCTACTGCTTCTGCCACATAGATTTACTTCGAACGAGGCTTTTAAAATGACCATTATTGATGACAATGGGTCAGCTGTGTTCATTTGAGCTTTGAAGCTGTCAGTCCCGCCAGAATTCTTGCCGAAAACTCTATTTCGTAGAAATATCAATGGTAATCTGGTCAAGTGAAATGTTGTTATTGAAAGCCGATCCTGCGACTTCTATCCACATTTAATCTATTGCTTAAAGCAGCTCTAATTTTCTTCTTTGGTTTCCGTTTCAGCAATATAAATTGAGTCGAAATTCGCATGAAAGAAGAAGCTAAGAAATTTGGAGCTTCTTTTTCGCTTTAAGATGCGACATATAGCGCTAGTAGGGAAGCTCGGAAGCCTGTTCTGAGACTCATCTATCGTGGTTTAGGACGACAAATCCAAAAAATTACAACTTAATTTTATGACTTCATCTGTTCTAAGGCTGAACTTCTCCCGGCGGCTAGGGAAGCCGCAATTGCTGCTCAACACGATCGTCGTGTGCAGTGGGACATCCTAGCAGAAGATGTGTCCGTAATTACAAGGAGATTTGAACAGTTGCTACAGTGAGCTATTCTTTTTATAATTTTGATTTTACTAAGGCGTTTACTGAACCTAATTTTACTTCATAATCATGGAAAAGACCCTTTTGCAGTGAGAAATGCTTGCTTCAGTTTGTTCATCTGTGTGGGCACGAAAAACTTCACTAATTTAGAAGTGCCTATCGACAAGGATTATCTACAGAAGGCCAGAATCAATGAACTAAAACAACGCAAAACATATGGTTTTATCCTTCTATAAATGTCATTCTAGCATCAAAACAAACCATGCTTTGATCTTTCTTTTATGAAAGACGTCCCTGACCGACTCGAGAAAGAAAGGAATGTTCATTTTGGGAGCGAGCTTGATATGACTTAAGAACAGCTCATTCCTGCCATACTTTGTAGTATTATTGGAGGTCTGTGGTTGTTGTAAACACTCTCGTTCCTCCATCAAATGATTTTTAAGTCGTACCATTGCGTATTCAGGAAGGAGCAGACTCAACAGCAGGTTCCACGTGCTGTGCGACGCTCTACGGTTGGATGTGAGCACTTACTACACAGTAAAGAAGTTTCTAAACAGAGACCATGATGAAGAAAAAACTCCTTGACATTTGGTTGCGGTAAGGCCATCTAAATTTCAGTGTTCTTTTACTATTATGGTTCAGTTTTTATTTGGAACTATGTCTTTACAGTATGCAATGTGAAATCCTACTGACTGCTGTCTGGCTCCCACAATGGCTCACTCTGAAGTGGGTCAAACGCTTTTTTGTTTTCGTTGTGTGCTTTCTTCGTTTCCTTCCTAAAAGTTTACTCTCTCAGACGCAATGCGATGTTTAAAAAAAAGAATGCTTGGTAGTTCAACCCAGTAATTCAGAATTTACCTTTAATTCCATCGCATTTTTGAACTTTGGAGGATTGTTTGGAATTATTACCAAGCGCTTTTGAAGTGGCAGGTATATTTCAGGTTTTACAGAAATAGCGAGGTTGCTTGCGTTTTGGTTATTTATTTTTTCTCACAGAACCATTTTCATTTTTACTAAGAGTTTCAGGTATGCGCCCGGTTGTTAACACCCTATGGTCATGATGATTAAGAACCTCTATCAGTTTAATCACTTAGTTCATCGTATGACACATGTTAGGTGAATGGCTGAGCATTTTCTTGTGACTGGCGTGCAATCCACGGATCGACAAGTCTTCTATGGACACATAAAGACTAGATTCGGTTTGAAAAACTCGGTCGTGAAGAGTATCTTCGACAGTGGCAGTCTGCGAACGCTTTTCTTACGGATCCTACAAGCTCAGAAAACCGACCAAACGAGTGGATGAGGGTAGCATCGAATGGTTATTTCTTTTTTGCGTCACTTAAGAAGTATTATCGCTGATTCTTGCTAGACGTATTATCGTAGCTCACCACTTCCATAATGTCGTACATGTCAGAACCTTATTGTGAAAACAACTACAGAATTTTACGACTTGTTACCTTATAAAGATGACCAACATGTTTCTTGTATGTGCGAGATTTCGCTTCACTTTTTTTCCGCTTTTCCATCTTTTTCTCTACGATTCTTTGCGATTCATAACATTTGTACCAATACAAAAATAATGTTTAAGTTTATTTACAACCTATTTCTTAAAGGTAAAGCATTCTGTGGGATACAACCATAATGATGTTGAGGTATAAACGATACTCGGAACCGCATGTGAGTTTCGAACCTGCGGTTACCCTCATCGGGTTCCTAGGCTGCCCACTGCGCCATCGAAACGCTTGCTTTGCGTTTCTCTTAGTTTTCTACACTACCTTGCAGAGTAAGTGGAGTCTGAGTTCGGCTATGTTTTACCACTCTGATTTTGCTTTTTTATTAATATGGTGTCTAAGCCTAACTTTCTTAACATCGCGAGATCCCATTCCCAGCCGATAACCTTAATCCGAATCTATTTCCTAGCAACAGCATGGTTTTACGTTAGACGACCACTGAATATGGGAGTTGAGACAGCAAAACCAATAGACCCACTGTTCAGAAAGCTCAATTTTTTATTAAGATAGAATGAAAAGAGCACGCTTGTTGGACCACGGTTATCACTTTGTCGCAGTTCATTCTGGCGACCATCGTTAGTGGTTGACCTTTCTAAGTTGTTTTTCCATGAGTCGAGCAGATCGACGAGGAAGCTGAATGAGGCTGGACTATTCAGAGTAAGTTAGTTCAGGTTGACTTCCACCCCTTCGTAGCAACAACAGCTCCTCCTATACAGGTAGATCATAAACGATGAAACATACCATCTGAGTACCGACGGAGGAACAGTTGCCGTGTGACGACTTGCGTTTACGCGACACTAGCTGTTAACAATACTTTGTAATGGCATTGTATATACAAAACCTTTTGCGCAAGTGGTCTTTTAGAACAAACCTTGGTCCTTTTCATATTTTCATTCATGGAAGACTGTGACGCCTGATTTTTATTTTCTTCTCCACCATTGCACGTTTTCTTTATTTCAAAACCGTTAATCACTTTTTCCTCCGTCGGTGGGTGCTAAATTAAGCACTAGAATTTTCATCCAGAAATACCTTACAAAAAGAGTTATAGAAATAGTTTGCAAGGAAGAGCTTGCAAACTGGATTTTTGTAGAATTAAAGGAGAAACGCTTGAAATTATTCCGTACATGAACTCGTGTTTGTTTAGAATATTCATTCTGCTTTCTGTGACATAAACGTGGACAGTTCCTTTCTTAACCGTGTTCACGTGGGTGGCCATGTGATCGAGATTATCCTAGGCGCTTTCGCCATGTCTCGAGAAAAAGGCGAAATCCATGAAGTAAATCCATTTTTCACATATTTCACTTGAAGGTCGTTAAAAAATAGGTCTTCCCTTCTTCTCTATACATTAACTCAGAATAAGAGATGAGCAATTATTGGAGAAACCACCAAAATGATAAATGATAAAAGACTTTAATGTCTCACGTTCTCTTCAGAACAACTGTGGACTCCGTCACGATTTCTTTTTCCCTCGTCAAAAAAGCCGTCCATATCTAGAGGCGTCATCATGTCGGAACCCTGAAACTTATCAGTAACTGTTCACAACGAAATGTTTTCAGAAATGAAGAAAAACTGACAACGAGAAGAAAGTGGAGCTTTAAGCTTCGAACCGAAAACATTCTTGAAAGACATCCGTCAGAGAAGCTAAGTCTCAAATCTCCTACGAGAAGAACTGGCTTCACATTGACAAAAACATGTTTTAATATAGAAAAAAACAGTATAAACCTATACGTGTATAGCCTCGCTTATTTCAAGTAGGTAAAATATGGCATAAATCAGCATGACCAGGACACAAAAGTCGCTCCTAAAATTGGCATGCAACGTTTGTATGCCTAACAAATTTTCATTTACAAACCCGGGAAATCATCTGAACAGATCTGTCGATCACAAGCGTAGATGTACTACATCTATGCATTGAGTAATATCTGAGAATGTCGGATTTTCGTTCCAGGTGATCAGCCTTTTGCCTTGAGACCTAGGCAAAAGGTATCAGCTCTTTACTGATCTTCATCTCCGGTTTTGACATAGTTCTCGGCTAGAATAGCGACTACTTCTGCGTTAAGAAACGAAGGGAACAATTCTGTCTAAAGTGCCAAAAATGATTGCGATTGCTAACAGTTTCTGAACTCGTGGTGTTTCCGTTCCACATTTGTGCTCTAATTTAGTAGTCATGACGAAAAAACGACGAAAAAAAACGTGCATTGCTGCAATATGAAGGACCCACGCACTGCAAAGCTGTCACAGAAGCACCTCTCGCGGCGGTTCCGACGTCGCTCCTAACGGACGAAGAAAACTGTTAGGTGAGCAGTAAGAACACAAGTTTCCTAATAGATTCTTGTCATTGGTTCCAGTCTGCTGTTTAATTTTGATAAATTCCAATGACGTTGAATGCTCAATACACACGCCTCAACATTGCTGCATAAAAAATTCTGCAGAAAAACACTACCTGAATACACTTTGGCTCGACTCTCGTGTCCATGGTCACTGTTTCCATCTGACCGCTCTGTTCAACAGTTTCGCGTTCTGTGCTGTCACTCATTGTTTCAAACTAGAAGCGCAGTGTTGGGCTCAAGAAAGGAACGATCAACACTTGGGAAATGTAGGCGAAATGCTGAGGTGGAACTATCACAACAACGAGCACAGTGAAAAACGTGAACGTTTAAAGACAGAATCTTACAGAAACGCGAGAAAAAATGAAGTTAGGAAGCCGACATTGGCTTATGTAGGTTTCAGTCATGCTTATCATCAGCTATTACACGTCGTTATTAACGTTTCAAACACGTTCAGTTCGAGCATGGACCGAAGCTCACACGTCAAGGCAGATTTCAGGGTAAGTCTCGACACCGTCTGACAGGAGTAAATATTGATTAAGGATCGATACCTGTGTTCTCACTTGGTAGCATCACGTACATCTGCTAGCTTGTTCGATTGCAATTCACAAACTTCCAGTCACCTAAATCCATCTGTACGCACTACTTTCAGCACTGTTGCTTCAGAAAGCCACTTCTATAAAGCGGTGTCGTACACAGACGCGTTTTCCATCACATGGAAATGGTTTTTGAAAAATTCTTTAAATTTTTCGGAACTCGAAAACATCTGTTTTGGCCACGAATTTGTCCAATGCTGCAGACACCTGTGAGAATGGTATACTTGCGTTGTCACAATCGTCTCGTGACTCACTACACATTGCAATACTCAAAGTAATAACTGGAATACCAGTTCGCGGTAATACATACTTGGATACTGGAATTTCCCCCGCAGTCATCGTACATGGAGGTGGTTTGATTCAAGCATGATGACGAGTCCGAGTCCCATTCCATGATCAGTGAAACAACTGCAGCTGTGAGTGCAGTTGCTTGAGTTTAGTAACGAACAAGTCCACTGAACGTGTAGGACGTCGTCATACGGAACTCCTGCATCATCGTGATGTCCGCTCCACAGTCCTTTTCTTCTAACCGTCGTCTCTTGTTCTCACTATCTGACCGGTCCACGTATGTTTCGCTACAGATATGTGTTTTTATAGGTCATGAAGATGGGATAGATAACATGGATCAGAGATATTATGTATGCAAATTATAATTCAAATATAACGTTCAACCGCTCTGCGAGTACTGTGCAGTGTTCTTTACATTGTTGAAATAGCAGGCCACGTCTCTGCTTCATAACAGAGCGCTGAAAGGACTGCTGAATTAAAAAGGTGAATTTCACCTTTATCTTGCTGCCAATGCTCACTGAGCGAGCAAGCTACACGTCCGAGGTAGTCTCAGCAATCAGAGAACCATCCATTTCGACTTTTTCTTCTTCGCACCATCAACGTCCATAAACTAGTTCTTCTCTCGATTTATGAGCAACTCTACTTTTTCCCGTTTCGTTGAGCTTATTGATTATCGCTTTTTCTTCGTTAACACTTTCCGAAAAGATCACTGTATCGTCGCCGAAACGAAAATTTGACAGGGATTTTATATCGATAAGCTGGCTTTTCTCAGCTCAGTCATGTTACTTCATTGTCTACCGTAATACTACATTGAACAGACCCAACGACATGGTGACGTGCAGTT